CAATTGGATCTTTTTCATGTATCTCTCCATCACTCTTAACAGAAAGGTAATTTGGCCAGGGAGGTAGTGGAGTCTCCTTCCCTGGAGATATTCAAAACCCGTCTGGATGTGATCCTGGGCAATATGCTCTAGAGGACCCTGCTTGAGCAGGGAGGTTGGACTAGATGATCTCCAGAGGTCCCTTCCAACCTAAACGATTCTGTGATTCTGTAATTCTAGTATTCAAGTCATCTCCGCTATACTTGAAGGACCCCATGTCTCCTCTCTTTTTGTCAGCCCACTGCCATTACAATTTCTTCTCTTGCTATTAAGGCCGGGGCAGATTACTTTTACAATCATTTATTAATGAAGGAAGTAGTCACTTTTCAACCCTACTGATAGGCTCAACACTTCCATTTTATCTTGCTTTAAAAGCACCAGTTCCAAGAAGAAAAAACAGAATCACAGTTGTGTGCAAACAAAACAGTTCCTACAGAAAAGCAACATACTGCGTATATTCAAAGCCCATTTTGAGGCCATGGGCAGTCCCTTAACTCGCATCTCCAGCATTTTCAGGGTCTTCACATTGCCCTTGGTCAGTCTGACACAATGACCCATTAGATTCACACTTCTAGTTTTAGATGTTCTCTCCCGTTCACCTTGACATTTCTCTCTTCACTAGCATGAGCTCAATTTCCAGGACTCCAGTGAAAATATTTCTCTCTGCTCACACTCTCACAGAAGTATGTGAAGCAGGAATCACTTCCCGACCATAGCAATAGTGTTCCCGTTCCTGCATGTTTCAGGTTCGTGAGTCACTCCCCCACTCACCCCTGCATACACATCACCAGACACATTTGGTGTTTTTTTCATTTCCTCCTGGGTTTTGAACCCTGACACTGCATTTTCCAAATCTCTCAGCAGCCATTCACCTGACCCAACCTTAAATGCCCATCATGCTACTTCCAAGCTATTTACCCTAGATCAACCTCCAGTCAGCAGTTCATCTCTTCCTGAGGTAAACATTCAATACAGATGAAAAGAATCTTCCTTCTTTTTTCCCTTGGTACACAGGTAGAGCAGATAGCTACCTCAGATGGAATACTTAGGATTACATGAGGAATTCCTCCCTTTGAGAAAAAGTGAGATTCTCTGCAAGTATCTGAAGACCTTCCGATAAGCACCAAGCATCAAAAGAATTGTGATCGAACGTCAGAAGTAGGCAACAATGAACATCAGCAAATACTTTCTGCATGTCATATTTTCTACTGAATTAGTTTGGCACCAATCCCACTCCTTTCCATTTTTAATTAAGTAGTCAAATTATACTGGAACAATCCTGTGCAGAAAGCCAAGTTTTGTGAATGTTCACAAAACAAAATTGAGTTTTTAATTCTCAGAAATACTCCTCTTGTTACAATCTCTTGCATGAGATTTATCTGATCAGTTGCCATTAGCCAGCACAGCTCAGTGTGGTAAACAGATGTACTCACAAAGAGTTTTGAGAAACAAAGCATTTTGCAAGAATCTCTAAATTGCTTTTAACATTAATTGTATAAACGAGAGTCTGTCCATCAACCTTTTAAGAACAACAAAGAAGGAGAAGGTAATGGAGGGAACGACTCAGATATATTTCACAGCATCATTTGCCATTTTTTCTTCCCATGTGAATGAATCATAAGTTCTGGATTTTTGTTTCCACTCCCTTCAGCAATCTACCTTTAACCCGAGGAGTCCTAGAAGTGATTGACACAACATGCAGCCACAAACACCACACAGCCCTCAAAGATATTTCTTTGATGTGCCAAAAGTCTAGGTAGCATACCCAATATTTGGCCACCTGGAGATGGAGCCATGCAGAAGGGACCCTGGCACACAGACTCCTGCCTGGCCACAGAGCACACATCTGTCACTGCCAAACTTGATCGATCTACCCCCAACACATCCAAATGTCTCTCAGAACAAGTAGGAAAGACGAGCAAGAGTGGTGAAAGGGACACTGGAAAGCTGGAGAGGATAGGAGACATGGAGCATACAGGGAATAAGCAAGGTGGAATGTGAAAGAACAGGGGTCGCTGAGCTCTGTGAGGCATCACGGATGCAGCATTAGAGGGGAGGTTGGTGGAGAGAAGATCTGAATATCCCACATACACACTTGCATCAGATATCCCTGCTATCGACATGTACGGAACTGAGAAAACAGAACATCGGCTGGCTTTATTTTAAACTGTCCCCATAAAATGTACCAAAGAACTTTCTCAGTGACACAGCTCTATATGAGACAGGCAGGACAGTCTGCAGAAAGAGTCTCCATCTCAGTGGGACTTCACAGTACTTAACGCAGAGTTCTCTAAGCCCCAATGAGTTTCACCTTTTTTCATATGGCATTTTCTTCAGCTATGCGTAGTCCTGGAGAGATCCACACAGTTATGGCACCAATGACCCGAAGACCTGAAATGTCTAATGAAGACCAATAGAGTTGATGAGTCACAGTCTCAGGGGAATCAGAGTTACTTGGCATGCACCCAGATAAGGTCAATCAGAGCATGGGAGACTGTTTCTAAATAACCCAGGGCTTTGCCACTGGGAAAAATAAATAGAATTACGTATCTTGTTTCCACATCTTAGCTGGCTAAATAAATAGCTCTGATAGCGCACTCTCCAGGGTAGATTCTTAAAGTGACCTTGGTTCTGCTGGGGCCTAGGACAGGAGAATGTGGGTGTATCCACAAGAGAAGTGGTGCATTTTCAGTGCTGCATTCCTGGCAACTGATGAAAGAACAAGGGTAATCTCAGCCCCCACAGTTGCTGGCTGTTCCTTCCCAGCAGCAAGGCAAATCATGGTGGCACATAGTTATAAAGTGGAGAGAAGGTATCAAGGGCAAATATAAAGGGACGACACTGCAAGAAAGATGTCCTCCAGAGGCAGGTTACAGACTAGTGCTCTCTTCAAGTTCCATATTTGTAGCTAAAAAGTAGCATATGCTTTTGTGGCCAGCTAATTACACCAGAATAACCCACTCCAAATCTCTGCATGGCCACAGTGACTTTGGGAAGAGCTGTGCAGCCTCTCAGTCAGATGACCAGAGCGCATACTGGACCAGGCAAAGCATATGCCCCCTTTTACTTTCTTCCCCATCTCAGAAAACCCAAACATAAGGTCCCTTCTCCAGGCACCCTACACATTTTTAACTAGAGCTAATCAGAAAGTAGAAGGACATTTTCACACATCCCCACCTCCATTTTCTGATGAACTGTAAAGATGCCTAGGATTTTCAGACCATGGCTATCCCAGGCATTCGTTAACAATGAGAAAGAAGATCCACAACCCGCCCTCCAGTCTGGACTTCTAGTCTCAGGATCTAAATTCCCGTCAGCGATGTCTCTTGAGGACGTTTTTCCCCCGGGTGGAACAGTGAGAGCAGTGCTTCTAAATGGACTGCAAGCAAACAGTACCCACTGAATAATAAGAAACTAGTAGCTTTAAATAGGCTGCAAGCGCTTTGTAAACCAAAACAGGCTTGTGTTAAAGTCTACAGTGCTGCTTCTGGTATAAAACAGATCGTCTCCACTGAGCCATTGGCTTTCTCAGCTGCTCCTCATTATTAAATGAAAGAAGCAGCTCTGAGCCCTATGCAAGTCAGCTGAGAGGCCACCAGGCTTCAGCTGATCTACGGTTCTTGCTGGTTAAACCAGGTGTAGGTGGGAGACAAATCACCTTTTACTGTAAGCTAGCTCCTCAGGAAGGACTTTATCCCCCATGATGCATTTCCATACATTTGCTTGCCTGCAAATACACTGTAAGAAGAGCCCAAACATTTTAGGAGAAAAAAGGAATTAGGAAACTGAACTAGCAATGAGGAAGCTCAGGTAGACACCAATTAATGCTTAAGAGGCTTTTTTTTTTTTTTCCCCAGTGAAAAACAAATCCAAGTTTTTTTAACAAAACTAGAGTTTTACTCAAGGAAATTTTGAGTCTGTATTTTTTATCCCCCCCCCCCCCCCCCCCCCCCCCAAATAAACACAGAAGAGTTCAAAACATTTCTAGCCCACAGGATAAAAGGAAATAAAAACCAAATATTGCAAGTTGACAATCTAGAATCATTGAAATCAAGAATAGTGTGTTTCTCTGAAGGACTTTTCTTTCCCTTTCTGCTAAGTGAGTATTCTAGACAACTGCATAGTCTGTATCATGACAACCCACAGCAGCACCAGCTGTACCTCTGAATGAATCTCAGTAAGAAGCCAGGTTAGAAGTGTGTGACAGATACTAAGCTCTCTACTTCCCATAGAGGAAGCAGGGAATGGAAAAAGAAGCTATGTACAAATTTCTCATTAAAAAAGCCCTCATGCAGCATTCCTTTGTAATGGAGAGCCGATACAAGCCCCAGACTCATTACACCCAGATCACCCTGTGAGACGATAGGGGCCAGGAAGGACAACTTGAAGGCTAATGTTCAGCTTTAAGCTGGAGATATAAAATGGACTTGTTCTCTTCAGAAAAAAGCTACTTGAAATATTTGAAATGGGTGGAAAACAAACCCAGATTAATATTAGCAACTACTGTCATACTTCAAAAATATCATAATGACCTATAGTCACAACTTTCTACAAAAGAAGGAAGACAAAGAACTCTGCCACAATTCCACTGCACCTCCTCCTGGGGCTAGTGGTGGCAGGAGGTTCTTGCTAAGGGATAAGCAGAACTGGTTAGTCTGTTGCTGGAAGGCACTTCTTAAAATCCCACACTTACTGGAAAATATAAGACAATACTTTGCAGTCAAACTCCCATTCCTCTATAGGGTACAGTCCAAATGGCCACCACAATGAATCATATGATGAATCACAACATCAACATTATTTCAGGTAACTATTTCTGCCTGTTTAAAAACCCTGCAGATTTAAAGTGAGTGGAAACTGTGCATCCATCTCTGATTTCTTTGCTTCTTTGGGTTTTTTTGGGTGAAAGTTTTATTTCTTGCTCTCCTGGAAAGGTGAGCTCCTTTGGGGCTGTTGCCTACCTGACTGTCCTGACGTGTCTTTTGCTGTAAGGAGTGATGACTTTAAAAAGCAGCTCCATGGCTCCATTGATGCCAAGTGCAGTTCCTGCAGTAACTAGGCCAATGAAAGAGAAAATCAGTCAGATCTGAAGCAGGCAGTCTGGAATGCTCCATTTAGAGGTGAAGCAGGGAAGGGAGCAGCTGCCCCTGGGGTGCGAGCAGCTTTCTCTGGGCTCCCAGCTAGACTTCACAGATGATTTTACAAACATAGACACTGAAGCACAGAGCTGTCCATGGACAAGCCTAAGCCAAGGTCGGACTCAAAACCAGACATTCTGGTATTCTGCCCTCCTTCCCTGAGTTCCCCAAAGCCGCTTCTCCTGTGGATACCATACTCTATGAAGGACAAGTCATAGTTAAGTAGGGTCATCTCCCAGCAAAATGACAGGGCTCAAATTCATCCTACGTTTTCCAGAAGCAGTTCCATGAGGATAGCTTATTTCACAGGGGCATGGAGAGCTGAATTTTCTTTCTGTGCTATTATTCAGTGCTATGGAAGTGATTTTGGAGAGGGATGTTTCTGAATGCAGCTGAATTCCAGCTAGGCCAGTTTTATCTTTAATCCTTCATTTGCTAACACACTGAGAACTACACATAGATTTTGCAGCCAATTCTAAAAATGCCCAGTGCAGAAACTAGCTGTCTAGCCAGGCCTCCCCACTATGAGACAGGTCCACTGTGTGAAGAAGGGGAGAATACAGCCCTAAAATATTAAATGCAACTGAATGGGGTGAAAGGATCAGTAATCAACAGCAGCCAGAGGGAGACCTGGCTATCTGCCCATTGCTGGGTTTTGGCCGTTTTCTAGGTATCTCTCACTGGGCATCAGAGAGCTGCTAGGGGGACCATCATCTCCTGCAGTGCCTACTGTGTCTCCGCCAAGTTGTCCTGTGATGAAAAGCTTTGGAAGGCTTGCCAACTGCTTTCACGCTAGCTAGTAATTCATTAGAGACAGGGCAGTGTACAAGACTGCTTGAACCCGTCCTGCCCCAGAGCAGGATGTGGGCTGCCCACAGGACTGGTGGCAGAGATTGCGAAGGGAGCAACATAGGGCAAAGAACAGATGCACTGAGATTGTGACAAGGACTAATCTTTTCTGCATTTACATCTAATGTAAGAGCTCTCAGAGCTTTACATGATTCTAGATCCTCTCTAGCTGCACTCCATGAAACTCATTTTTCAGGTTAGGAGCATGTAATCTCCTATGTCTGTACCACATCTATACAAACCTTCACTTAGCCTTCCCTGCCTCTTCACAGAACTCATCAAGTCAGAATTACTCTGGGAAGGGGGAAAGCACAACTGCATTTGAGGTGCAAGGTGAGTAACAGAGCTGCTGCAGCAAAGGAGCAGCAGGTGGGTTCTGAGGTAGGGTGGGGGGCCTGACATCAACAGAAAGGAAGTGAGGCTGCAGTATGGCATCTTAAAACCTCTGCAAAATCTGCAGTTGAAATGGGATGTGGGTACAGTGAAGAAGAGAGCAGGAGAAAAGTGTAGATGGTCATTTGGGGGTGGGAGGCAGCACAAGGTCATTACACAGCTGTGAAACCTGAATAAAGGAAAGTTGCAGCTTCTGGGCTGCATTTTCAGTCACGCTCAGCCTTTCAAATGCTGCTTATCACAGGGAGAGGGGTTGAATGTCAAGGCTTGGCTGCTTGCCTGAGAAGGCCCATAATCTGGAACTAGCTCCTGTGCAAGTAGAAGGGACCCGCGGGGCTGAGAGCCAGGAATGCTGAATCTTAGGATGCATATAGCAGGCTGCAAACAGGATGGCTATCAAGAGCTGTCTGCTGGGTGAGAGAAGCAGGGGGGGAGAGGGAATAGTTACAGTGAGCAAAGGGAAATTTGTGCTGACAAACGCCGTGCCCTATAATGGGGAAAGCTTGCATGAATGTGCAATGATCCCCTGAGAGAATACTGGAAATCCCGTTGCTTGAGTCATTTAATAGGAGGGCACAGCCGATTAGGAAGAGCAGGGATACTAGACAGAAGACCAAGCGTTAAGTTCCAAGCTCTGATAGGTGCTTTCTGAGGGACCCTGAGTGAGTCAATGATTTCTCTCTGCCTCTGCTTCTTCACCTGTATTTCCCTCCTTTGTGGAGCTGCTGTAAGAAGCAATACAATCAAAAACTGTGAATACTTGGCTATTATGGTAATGGGAACTGCATGCAGACCTAAAATATTTATGTCTCGGAGTAAAGGAGTTGACTGTAGACATTCCGGAATAAGAGACCATTACCACGGATATTTTTCATTATAGCATTTGTATTTTCACAGTCTGCAAACGGGGTAGATTGTGCAGCCTTGCAATGAAAGGTCCCTTCAGGAGCAGCAGTTTCTAAGGCCAGTCTGGCTTTTGTGCCTGATTCTGTATATTAACAGTGCGTACAGACACTGACCATTAAACAGGAATGATGGTTCCTTGCACCGAAATGACTATAAAAGAGCTCTGGCAGTTGCCCCCTTGAGGAAAGGAGGAAAACCCAGGCACTCACCATTGGAAGCACAAACCTGCAGCACCCAGAGGCAGTGGGTGAGGTACAGGTGGTGGCCCAGGTATTTTCTTGCCAAGCTCAGTATTACATCCGTTGCTTCCAGTCTCCGCACTTTCAGCCCAAACTTCCTATCTGCAAAGAGCAAGCAGGAATCAAACTATTACAAAAACCAGGTCTCTGCAGCAGGGCGGATTGATAAACATTTTTGCACCAACTCTTATATATACAAGGATCTCATAACAAAGGCATTAAAACGTTCCAGTGAGTTAGATCAGTATTATTCTCAGGATACACTAAGGCGCCAAGAATATATGGTATTTACCTAGCACAAGGCTCTCCATATACAAAATCGGATTTTAAGATTTAGCTTAAGTTAAGGGAAACCGAAATAAAATTTCCATCAAGGGAGAAGGGGGCTTCAAGCCACAAGGCCAGCACAAGGCAGGACATGAACATCACCCGTGTAAAGAAGCGGCTCTGAGGGCACCTATGCCTTGTTGCGGGATGCCTGCAAGGCCGCGCCCTCACCCGCTGCCTCACGCGGCCCCGCCGCTCCCTCACGCCCAACGCGGGGCGTTGACAGGGCCCCGGCGGCAGCCCCCTCTCCC